ACACACACACACACACACGGATCTAATAAGGCGAACAGTGATACACTCTCTGGTTGCAGTGGAGTCACAGAGGTGCTTTCAATATCTCGTACCTACACTTCCATCTGGTGGCAGATAAAACACACTACATGTTTGAAGACTTTAATTCCTTTATCTCCTTAAAAATCCTTCCTTCCTTCCTTCCTTCCTTCCTTCCTGCTTCCTTCCTTCCTTCTTTCTTTCGTGGCTTAAAAGTGGAGTTTAGTCTCACTGTAGTAATTGTTGCTCATGTACAAATACCCACCACATTACTGTGATCTTACATCTATTAAAGACTTTTCATAAGTAAGAAAGTCCTTAAAATGCATCACATTATAAGTAATATAAATATACAGATATACATACAGTCCATGTGCTGCAGTATAACTGTATCTCTGCATATGTATATATATGTGTGTATGAGTATATATGAGTTTAACTCACTCTAATATATGTGTACAACAGACAGCCTGTGGTGTGTCTCTGTTTGTTTACATCCTGTGTGAACATCAACTTCCTGTCCTTGTTGGCGTGTTTGCTGCAGAGAAGTTGAGTGTCAGCAGAAAGTAGAAAAGAGAGTTTTCTTCTCTGAGGAGCTTTTTAAATCCTCCTGAAATTCCGACCGGGTCCGGTTCAGTCTGCAGAGATGATCCACGTCGGCTCCGCTGTGACAGAACAGATTAGCCGATCCCAGAAAAGCTGCCTTCCAAAACGCCGTCTCCAGATTTGTGGATCATGTCTCTGTTTGAAGAACTTATAAGTGTGTTCCTCCTCCAGGCTGCCCGACGGGTTTCTACGGCTCGCAGTGTGCCGAGGTGTGTCGCTGCCAGAACGGGGCGGACTGCGACCACATCAGCGGACAGTGCTCCTGCAGGACGGGCTTCATCGGAGAGCGCTGTGAGCTCAGTGAGTGCGTCTGTACATCAACACGTCACTGTTGTTGTTGTTGTTGTTGTTGTTGTTTCTGCAGAATGTCAGATATACAGGATGAAAGGTAAACAACCATTTGTTTTTGTGCTTTGATGCTGTTTTCACATCTGTTTGCATATTTAAAAAAGAATGAAAATTATACAAACGATTCTGTATATATATCTATATATATGATTATAGAATAAACATTATTGATCCCACTTGGGGAAATTAAGTTTCACAGTAGCAAAAAAAAGCACAACAACAGATGAAAAGTAAAGACAATATTTACTGTGAGATGATATAAAACTGTTTATACTGTGTTATCTCTCCCTCTAAATCTCTCTGTGTACGAGACCATAAATATTGGATTTTTATATGATTTTTTATTCCTGTTTGGTTTATTTTTATGTATTAACTATTATATTATACTTCTACTATCATAGAAGATTTTACCCATTTGCCCACTGCTACATATATATATATATATAT